ATATAAAACCCTTTAACAGAGACACAGATTCATCAATGATAAACTGGACACCCCAGAACAGGACCGTCACAGAGGACAATCTTTCCAGGACACAGACAGCCCACAATCCAGCTGTTGCAGCACAAAACAACAGCATGATGCATTCCATGTTGTTAAACTAGAGGAGCATGTCAGAGCATTTTTGGCCTGCGACGACCTAAAATAAAGTCATGGAATATTTACCTCTGAGATGTAGGCTAGTGGGGTAGAAGTATAAAGATGTAGAGTACCTCAAATTGTTCTTAACCTATTTAATTCCATCGGTCACAACAGTGACCACAAAAAAAGTTTGCAGTTATACGGCTCTAAAAATGTTACTCAATGATGTATCAATGCATTTCCAGCAAATATTGAAATAATAAAGGGTCTCCATGAAATATGTGCAGTGTCACATGTTTAGTGTAAATGGTCACATGACAAGCGGTTTACTTCCTGGTTGCACCATGAGACAAGGATAGCTGCATCAAAGCCCCCAAACAACAACAACAAAAAAAGTTTGTTTACGTAGAGACAGGACAGAGATTTTTGGTACACATTATCTTCAAGGTGTATTGATATGTGCATTTGCAATTACTCAACTTTAGTGCAGGTCACAGAATTAGTGAACATGTTGACGGCAACAATAGTGGCCGGTGGGATAACACAGTAAATCTGAATTTACATGTACTTGCCGAGCAGTGTCAGTATGTAATGCAGCCGGACGTAACCTGGTCGGCCCGACGGCACCTGTCAGGGCGATATGATGCTCTGCTGGATGCAGTCAGACGCAGAACGATACCTAACACGTCATATGACAAAGCGGTGATATATGCATGTGTAAGGGTTTTGATAAAGTAGTTACTCTAGAATATGATAAAGCATTCTTGTAGCAATGGTAGGGACTGCCAGTGCCAGAATTTTAAATTTATTAATAATTGAGCTGGGATATTTAAGTGCTCTGATGACTCACACAGGAGATTATATTAATTCGGTCAATAAATGGTAGATACAACACATTCTCCCACCACTCACAACTGTGACCAACCATAAAACATACTTTTTCACCTACCTTTCCATGAAAATGTATCTATTAAATTCTATTTAAGTCTGGGAAAAAGTTGGGATTAAATAGGATAAGTACAGTAGTTGAGTAAATACACTTGTAGATACTTTACACCACTGTCTGTGACCGCTGAAAGTCTCCATATGACACCTTTCACAGTTTGCTGATGATCTTTGATTCACATTTGTCTTTACAGCACTGAGCAGTAAGAAAATCGGTTTTAAAAAAATGACTGTGTTCTTGTTACTCTCTACACACCTCACTGGTAGTCTCCAGATGTGTTGAGGTTGAATGTTTGGGATAAACTGAAGGATGAAGTGTTGCTTTATGAATTGGAAAAAAAAGAGTTTCTCCCTCTTCAGCTAAATCAACTCATTAAAAACTCTATTGGATCAGCTGGAATATGCTTTGTCACAGAGCTGAAAACAGGCTGTTTTTCTGATTTTTTTAGAGATGCGTGGTTCTCACAGGACAGCCACAAACAAAAACAAAACAATCAAGTGTTAGTGTGACATGAGAAAGTGAACTAAGACCGCCATCTAGTGGTGTGTTGGAAGACTAGCAACTACTTGAGAGAATACAACATGTAAAGTACCTCAAGGAGACAGAGGAACTCATTACGTGCTGCCACCACGGAATGCGGTGAAAGAGGTCGTGGTCATTTCACGTATTTCTGTGAGATCAGGTTGTTTCCAACACTGAGATATAAAAATAATGTGCCAGATAAACTGTTAGGTGCTAAAATCCTTGATATGTGAACAGTGATTTTGTAATATTGTTGATGAAAACACAGATGCAGGCCGAAGTTTGTACTTTTTTTACATGTGTGGCTTTTGATGCACTGGATCATCATTTTATAAATCATATCAGGGATAGAGTTGTTGTCTCAGGTCCTGTCCTTGACTGGATTTAATCTGTCCAGTGTCTTCTTATACTGATCGACCAGAGGATTAAAAATCTTTCAAAGACTCTCTACTTTAGGGTGGCATGGTAACAGAGTTGCTGTGTGTGTATATATATAATGTATTGATGCATGTTTTTATACTGTTACGACATTGTTTTACCATTTTACCACTAAATGTGTTTTAATTTTTCTTGTGCTCCTCTGTTTTCAGCACTGTGCTGTCTATAAAGTGTATTATTATTATTATTATTATTATTATTATTATTATTGTTATTATTATTTCTATACAACATTTTGATTTGCTCATACTTTTATTCACAACTGAAATCCCACATGGACGTAGTTTGTTTTGTAAGCTGTGAAACACCTGGAGTCTCATTTATAAACACTGCGTACGCACAAAACGAGGCCTGAAAGAGGCGTGTGCCACTTCCCACAAAAGTTGTGATCTATAAAAACAGACTTGATGGGAGAAGCTTTGACCCATGCTTGCTTATGTTTTGGAGATGGGAAATTGGTGACTCTGTTTGGCTTTTGTCTGTACATACATTTTTAGCGTGGATCCTACACACTGTTTTATCCACCTTATTCCTGAGGGCACGACTGTAGAAATGATTATGGTCACAACTTCCTGTGAGATAGCAGAAGTAGCATTAAGCTAGTTAGTCCCATAGACTGTCTGAGGTTAGTCCCAGTGGCTACTCTTGGTGGTTAACCGCCAACACTGGTTCTTTTCCAAAGTCATTTGCCTTCAGTTTAGCAAATACTCATTTATTTTTTAACAAATATTTAACTAATGTTAACTTAGCATTTTCTAAAATGTTTTTGCGGAGCTCTGGTACCTGTTGCACTGTCCGTGTCTGTAACGACTAACAACCAGGCTGAGCTAACTCTTTGTCTTCAGCAACTGTTTGTTGAACATGTGACCAGAACAAAAAGGGATTGTTCCTGTCGCCATGGTTACTGTTGATATGGGAAATAAAACCACAAGAGTTTCACCAGACATAGCGAAATAGCATTAAATCAGAATTAGCAGAAGAGAATGACACGTAGACTGACAGGTCCGTCACTCAACGTCAGTACGTGATATCCCTGTCTTTCCCCATCTGACTTCGTTCTCAATCTACATTAGAAAATTGCACGCTATAAAATCATCTCAGCAACATACCTTTGAAATATGTATTTAGTCATTAGGGCTGAGAAGTCTGCTGCTAAATTCAGCATCATGTTTCGCTCAGAAGAGTTTGTAATAAATCAGAAGTTGAGAAAAAGTGTAAACTGTGTCGTTAACGCAGACGAGCAGAGGATTAGCTGGGAAACATCACATTTATTCACTTTACACTGAGCTACAGTTAATACTGAATTATGCGTTAGTATCTCTTAATAAGTCATCAGAAATCATAAACCATCTTTAGAAGGAGCAGATGTTACCTTAAGCTGCTCGGGACATTATAAAGTTAACAATATTTTTAACAGAGCAAGGCGAGCTAATCGCTAGCGTGCTCGGTTGCTTTGACATGGCAGTCAGAGATGGCAGAGGTATGATCACATGATCCTGTTTGAGCTAGAACAGGTGGTGGGTTCCACATTTTATTTCCCCATTGCTCCTGGAAAGAGGAATAGAGAACTGTAAACAAGCTGTTACCATAGGAAATTGCCAGTTTTGGTTCAGTGCTGGAAGTTGTTCCCATAATTAACTTAATTAATTAAGATATGTAATGAATAAGGTGAAATAGTGGTAGGGACTTATACGTTTTACTTCCACCTACTCCTTTTCCGACTCCTTGTTTTTTGTTTTATTTTTGTTTTCACTTGTCTTACTTTAAATGCTCGAAATAAAATAATTCATTCATTCATTCAATCCTTCATACATAATTCACACAAGGTATCACAGGGGCTAGGAATACTGTGGATAAATTAGCCCTGTGGCTACTAAGAGGCTTAGATGCAGAAACTGTGATTGATAATTAAAAAAAGAACCCAATGTTTCCACCCTCATTCAATGTTAACAATTGAAGACAGAGAACACATTTATGCATTCTGTTTGTTTTTTGTTGTTTCCAACAATAAGCCAGTGCACCATGATTACCCATTTACCTTAAACAGCACAGCAAAACAACAACATATACCAGGTAAGATAGAGACGCTCTGTCCACAATGACTTTCACCTTTAAGACAGATTTATTGTGTTTCAGCCACAGAACACAACAGCGAGCAACTTCACTTAGCAACCAAACCACAAGAGTTTCCAGTCATATTACAAAACACAAAATATAAATGGTTTTATTAAATTACATCTGCTAAAATACACGTGTTTAACTATATACCTGTTTTCATTGTATTTACACTTTAAAAAAAGTCAATTTACATCATAGTTTTGATTAATGTTTGTAGCACAACTGTTGGCCCGGCCTTGGTGTGTGGGTTTGAAAAGTCCACTCTCCACTTCTAAGAAATAACACAGACGTACTCTGAATACGAACAAACTCACCACAACTGACCCACATAGGTAGGAAAGGCTGATTGAGTAACTCACTGTGAAAATGTCTGCGCTTTTCCTGTTTATATTTAAAGTGAGCATTTATATCACAGATGAATAACAATGCTAGAGAAGAACAAAATACTAAAGGGGGATTTACAGCAGTTATTTGTGTCATTATCCAGTAAAGGATTAATTCTATTTTCAGTCATCGTCTGAGTAAATTCTGGACAGATATAAAATGTCAAATGGAACAGATACCTGGACTAAATCTTCACACCTCATATATTTGCATGATGAAAACAACCAAACCACAATCACCCTCCACTTCCTTTTCACACTCAACGGTGAGGTAACACAAGAATTATGTGCTTTGTATCCACCCACCCCTCAGTAGCTACTCAGTTCCTTCTCTCATCCAAACAAGACTGTACTGAGAGTAATACAAGCCAAAAGGGTCAGAGGTCATAACACCCTGTTGAGATGGAGGCTGTGTTCTGTTTCTCTTGTCTCCTACCTGAAAGTGACTTGGAGGAAGTAAGAGACAAAAGGAAGAAAGTGAAGGAGAGATGGAGTCTATTACAGATGTGGTGTCCCGAACACATCCATCAGTCCAACAGCTAATCACTGAGCTGTATGTAGAAAAAAACTTGAAAAAGTTTCCTTAATGTTCTTTATTTACATCGAAATTTGTATGTGATTGTTTGTCTCAAAACAAGATCATCCAGATAAATGTAAACGTAAATGTTACAAGGCAGTTTTCAGCTTTAAATTTGTCTGGTTTGGGTTTGAAAGATAACTAACATAGAAATATTATTTATGTTTATCAGGATTCATAGACGTCACAGAGCTTTGTAAACTCCTCCAATCGTCACTATAGTCTTTGCTGGTATTGGACTGGTGGACAGTGGTAAAAATAGATCTCCAGGTGCAACTGAAGCTGAATTTCTTTGCCACTTTTACCAGTATGTAGGACTATACAACTATTTCCATGATGACATCATTGCTGCCTCTTCTCTCCAGGGCCATCCGAGCTGCTGAGAGCAGAAAGAGATAAAGTGTCTATGAAAATAACAGTGAGATTTATGTCTTAATATCATCAGTGACAATCAGCGGAGGGCTTTTTCAGATTAAGATGTTTGGGTAACGTTTGAGAGCAAACTGTTAAGCCACTTGCACGTCGCGTTGCAATGTTGGCAACCTCAAACCACAACCTGTCGTGACAGCAGCATGATTCACACGTATGGCTATCTTTGTTTAAATATTCACAGAACTGTGCTTTTATAACAAAGAACATGTACAGCTGAACAATGACCTCCCAGACGAAGATGTGCTGTGCTTTAGCGGCCCTGTAGCCTGGTTTGATGGTTGTTTCCCATAAACAATGAGACATGTTATCTTTGCCTGACAGAGTTGGAAAGACAACAAAATAAAATTGGCCACAAAAGTGGCAACAAACACAGTGGCACATGTTAACCTGACCTGAACTGACCTATTTCTTTGACCAACACAAAGAAAACACTGACTGCTAACCACTCTGAGTAAGTTCCACCACATCTGTGTCAGCTAAAATGACATTCATTCAGTATTAGGTTAAATAATGACGTCAAACCAAATTACACTTCTGTCTCGTGCCATTTAAAGAACAGGGTATCTCCTTAGGGCTTAGAATATCGCCGGCATGTGTTGTCAAACAGATAGACAGGACCGCGACAAAGATTCAGTAAGTCACAGTTGAATTACACCTAACATGTTTACAGGTTTATATAGAATCATATAGTATATAAACCTTTAAACAGGCTATGTCCATGTGAACAGTCACTGAAATCATCAGTTATGCAGATGACACCAGAGTGTCTTCAGCTAATCGTGTTTCCTTACATGAGTTTAAATATACGTTTTGTCAAATACTCACCCTTAAATGTATAAAGATGGTTGTGTTAATCAAAAACAAAAAATATTTCAGGGACCAAACAAGCTAACTGATAGCACAGCTAGCTAAAATCATTGTATTGTTGTTATTGGGTGATCTGTGTCGCTAACATATAAAGTAAAAGTAAGAATGCCTTGGTGGACATTTGTTGGAAAGTTCTTACCTCTGTTCCTGTCTCTGTAAATGAGTCCCAGTAAGATGGTGGACACCAGGTAAGGTGTTCCCACCAATAGGTGACATATCAGCCTGGGAACAGAGACTGAACAGGAACCTGTCGTTGGAGCTGAAGATAAAGGCGGAAGAGAACCTGTGAAGATATATTAAGTCTCATCAACCAAGGTCATTATCAAAATAACTCATACAGTTTTCATGTAAATAAACACAGTCATGAATATCTTGTTTGTATCCTTGAGGCCTGACAAATCAAATAACTTTCCACCCTCAAAAACAAAGTTTTTCAGTATTTGAAACCTGCGCTGTTTACATCATGCTGCTCCAGTGTGTGATTATATTCTGCATTACGGCTTTGTGGAATCAAAAGGTAGCCAATATGGGTGTGAGGTGTAACCCATCAGCGTTGGCCTCTAGTATGACATATAACAGTCTGAGTAGCGCTTTATAAACAACAATACAACACTGTATTCCTATCTTGCTGACATTTTCAGCAGATATTCTTCTTCTTTGAGTTAGCCGCTAACTGCTAACAGCTCCTATCTTTCATGGTGGGTCGCACGCATAACACATCGTCTAAACGTCACACCCATGAAGCCCATGATCCCGTCCCGCAGACTGTCCTGTTTAAACAGGACTCGAAGGTGAGACAACTCTATCCCACCATTTAACGACCATATTTTTAAACAGTACAGCAAGGTGACATAATGGCACGATATTCCCGCCTTAAACAGGTAGTGTAAACAGGGCTTTTAACACCACAACTTTCTTGTGTTGTGCCAGTGACCACACCCAACAGCAATGTCACGGAGTACTTACACACTTAGTGGTCAGGTGGCATTCTGGGTAATGTAGGCATCATGTTTTGACAAAGAAGAGGAAGAAGAACTGATGTATATATATATTTGACAGACTTTTCATCAGTTACTGTCGACTGTATTTATCTCACCTTTAACAGCCACCCAGCTGCCCAAGGATTCCCCAACTCCAGGGATGCTGCACGTGTAGAGTCCTTCATCAGACTTGGAAGCATCGGGAATGGTTAACTTTCCTGTGGAGCTGCTGCCGACAGAGCGGCCATCTTTATGGAAATCGTACGTGTGGTTGGAGGATTGCGACTCGGCTCTACAAAGCAGACTGAAAGCAGCTCCGTCTGACACAGGGAGGGCGGGACTCTCCAGGAGCACTGCGCGATCTTTGGGAGAGAAAGAAACTCATGTTTTGCTTTCACCAGACTTTTTTTTTACATTTCTAATATAACTCACTTTACTTTGTGGTTGGAAAACATGTCAGACACGGATTCTGATGTTAAGTCTCATCTATTAAATGGAGCTTAAAGTTTAACTGTAAATGGCATGAAACACCAATTTCCAGTGTTGTGTGCAGTACCAGAGACAGTGATGTTGATGGCGTTGCTTCTCTCGCCGTCTTCAGATTCACACCAGTACACCCCGGTGTCTGATGGGTAAATGTTTCTGATGATGCAGGTCGAACCTGAGGAGGAGGTGCCCCAGCTGGAGGAGCAGGGTCTGATCCCACCCTCCTCCGTTCTCCTCTTCACCTTCCAGCCAGTGGAATTCAACTGATCCTCGCAGCTCAAAGAGACGGTGTCGTACCTGAAGTACTGAGACCTGTCCGGGCTGACCTGAAGACAGGCTGCATGGAGGGAAGGAGACAAGGAAGGAAGGAAAGATAGATATGAGAGAGAGGAGGAAAGAGGAAGTGCGGGGGATGAATAAGGGGCACAGAAATCACGAAAGAATAGCCAAAAGGCAAATGAAAATGAGGAATTAAAAAGAAATAAATCAAAAGAAAAGAAAAGGAGGATAAAAGATACATAAGCAAAAACAGGGAAGCAGAGAGAGGACAAAAAGAAGAGAAGTGTGACAAAATATTGGAGGAAAGTGTGAAAAAAAACAAAAAAGTATGAAAAGGTAAGTAAAAGGAGGGTAGAATGAAAAGTAAAAAGGTTTGAGGAAGAAAAACGAGGGAGAAAAGATAACGACAGATTGAGATTGGAACAGAGAAGAATAAATGACACGCAGAGGAATTAAAAAATGGCACAAGAGACAAGAATGAACCAATGAAGACAAGAATGCAAACAATCAACCAAAAGAGAAAATAAAGTAATGACATTTCTAAACTCAATACACAGTAAAATCTTATTATCACAGATTATTTCCTTCACAGTGAAGAAATGTCAGAGTTTGTACTCACACAGCACCAGGCAGAACGGTGTTAACTGCATCCTGTCCTACCAACAACTGACGGTCGGACACGGCAACAGTCTGATCTCTGCACTTCCTCTCTGAGAAACCCACCCTCGCTTTCATTGCCTCTCTACAAGGTGTCATGGCTGCTTGTGTGCAACACCGTCAAGCAGCTTTCCTTCAAACAACAAATAAAGTTGCACAAAAAAACCCCAACTTAAAATTTATCAGTGTAATTCAGGAATTTCCTAAACAAACAATCTACATTCACTAACATTTTATCACTTACATAAAAATATTTATTAGTGCAGTTTTAAAGGCAAAAACTGAGGGGCTGCAAGTTAAAAATTGGAGCTTAAGGTCCCCTACATTTCCAAGACTCCCATTTAACAGCAACTTGAGACCAGGGCCGTGTCTAGGCAGTGACCTGGGGTGGCACAGGCTACCATCCTTGTATGAGTGACTACCTGCCCAGTCAGTTTGAACTGTTTGATGAGTAAACTGAATTGTCATTTATAGATGCAGTTCAGTCTTGCACCTTGTTTCCACTTATGTACAGTACAGGCCAAAAGTTTGGACACACCTTCTCATTCAATGCGTTTTCTTTATTTTCATGACTATTTACATTGTAGATTCTCACTGAAGGCATCAAAACTATGAATGAACACATGTGGAGTTATGTACTTAACAAAAAAAGGTGAAATAACTGAAAACATGTTTTATATTCTAGTTTCTTCAAAATAGCCACCCTTTGCTCTGATTACTGCTTTGCACACTCTTGGCATTCTCTCCATGAGCTTCAAGAGGTAGTCACCTGAAATGGTTT